ATGATAATGATAATAATAGCAATAATGACTATAATGATAAAGATTATAATGATGATGATGACAACAATAACGATTGGAATTATAAATGATATATGGTATATGAATATATGATAATAATGATGATAATAATAATAATAATGATAATAATAATAATAATAATAATAATAATAATAGTAATAATGATAATCATAATCATAAAAATAATAATAATACTAATAATGATAATAATAACAATGATAATAATAGTAATGATAATAATAATAATAATGATAACAATGGTTATAGTAATAATAATGATAATAGCAATGACGATAATAACTATAATAGTAATAATGGTGATGGTAATAACAGTATCAATAATAATGATATTGTAATAGTATTGATAATAATAACGATAGTGATAAAAATAATGATATTAATGATAACAATAATAATGATCCTAATTATTATGATTATGACAATAATAATGATAGTTATGAAGATAAAGACAATCGTTACATTTATGATAATGATAATAACGATGATAATGATAATGATAGTGATAATGATGATAATGAAAATAATGATGATAATGATAATGAGAAGAAGAAGAATGAGAATCATAATGATAATGATAATAGCAATGATAATAATAGCAATGATAACAAAATAATAATCAATATAACGATAATAGTAATAATGATAACAGTAGAAATAACAATGATGATTATAATAACAGCAATAATGATTATGACAGTAATGGTAATAATAATAATCATTAGCATCATTATCATTACGATAACAATAAAAACGATAAGGATGATGATGATGATAATACCAATAAGCATAATGACAATAATGGTAATGATGATGATAATATTAACAATTATGATATTGTTACATCTTCTCTTCACCCTATACCCATTTCCCTCTTTTCTCTTATCACTATTATTATGATTATTGTTACTTATTATTATTATATTATTATTATTATTTTATTATTATTATTATTATTATTATTATTATTATTTATATTATTATTTATTATTAGCATTATTATTACTTTTATTATTATTATCATTATTAATTATTATTATTATTATTATTATTATTATTATATTATTATTATTTTATTATTATATATTATTATTATTATTATTATTATTATTATTATTACTATTATTATTATTATTATTATTATTATTATTATTAGCATTACTGATATTGCCATTACTATTATTTAGCATTATTGTCATTATTATCATCATTATTATTTTCTCTCCTCCTCCTTCTCTTGTCCCAATCAGGTATCCCTCTCTCTTTCTCCCCTCTTCCTTCTTCTTCCTTTCCCCTTTTCCTTCTTTTTTTCTCTTTCTTTTCTCTCCTTTCCTTTCGTCACCCATTTCATCTTCCTTCCCTCTTCCTTCTCTTCTCCTTCTTTATTTCCTGTTTTCTACTCCCTCCTTTCCCCTATGCATCCCTCCCCCTTTTCCTCTCCCGCTATTCCCTAATCCAATACCCGTTTTCTTCCTTTCTCTTTCTTTCCTTCCCTTTCCCTTTCTACCCAATCCTAATTCTTCTCTCTCTCTCTCTCTATTCCTCTCTTTTCCCTTCGCTCGTCCTCTTACTCTCTTTTTCCACCTCCCTGCCATCCTCTCTTGCAACCAATCCCACTTTCTCTCCCTCTCTCTATCTGTCTTTCTCTCATTCGCTCTCTCCTCTCTCCCTCTCTCTCTCTCTCTCTCTCTCTCTCTCTCTCTCTTCTCTCTCTCTCTCTCTCTCTCTCTCTCTCTCTCTCTCTCTCTCTCTCTCCCTCCCTCCCCTCCCTCCCTCCCTCCTTCCAACACCCTTCCCCCCCTACCCTTTCCCATCCCCCCACCCTTTCCCATCCCTCCCCACCCCTTCTCCTCCCCTCTCTCCTCCCACCCTCCTCTCTCCTCCCACCCTCCCGCTCTCCCCCTCCCTCC